CCCCCCCCCTCCCCTCTCTGCTCCCTGCAAACTGAAAAATGGACTCCAGAGAGCTGTAACTTGCAGTGGGCGGACACTGGGCCGTCCCCGCCCCGCCTTGCCACGCGGCGCCACTCCCGTCGTGACGCCGCCGTGCCCAGCTGTGCAAATTAGTAAAGGCCAACCCTGTCGACTGTCTGGATTTAATTCGTCCAGCCATATTTGCACTCAGCAAGGGGTCGACCTTGTTCGCTGCCCCTGTGATTTCCTCTTATTTTACAGTCTCTTTCCTTCTGATTCTGCTTGGGTACTTATTTCATTTACCAAAGCAGGACAATTTGTGAAAAATTGCAAACCATTTTAGGCATACGTAAACAGTGAACATATGCGATCACAATGAATCTAACTAGTTAGATGTACGCCAGACCACGTCTCGCGTAACAGGCTTCGCGATATCTGACGAAACACTTTGATGCTGTGACGCGCCTGGCATACATCTACCTAGGCATGTGGCGCTGACACCCGAGTGGGGCAAAAGGTAGAGTCGTCAAGACGCATTTGGCCTCAATAGTGACAAATTTCAGTCAGGAAGGTTTTATCTTGACGAGTTACCCCCAAAAAGACCATCAAATACCCGAGGAAAAACGTGTATTTGTTTTAGTGTCATTTCCGTGTGAAAAACTCTCTCTAGCGCCCAAACAGTTAGAGATGGAGCCAAACGGACGAAATTTTAAACTTGGGACTCCACTTTCAGACGGTACAACACAGAAAGAGATAGTGAAAATATTTACAAATGAAATTTTTTGGGCTTTTTTTGGCAGGAAAAATTTCAAGTTAGAGAGCTCAAAATCAATACAGTTGTTTTTTATGATACAAAGTTCAAACCAAAAATCTGAGCCTCCTAGCTCAAACCGTTCTCGAGTTGTCGTGATCACAGAGAAACAATAGACGCGAAACTTTCTGATCATCACTGGTGTAATAGGCTTCGCTAATCACTCAGCCATATACCAACAAAGGTCAACGGTCGTTTTTGGGTGGCCAGATCCCACATCTAGCACGTTGTGACTCACCCGGTAGTGGAGCCCGGCGGGCAAGGAGGCTGCTCGGGCCTGCAAGCACAATCAATAACTTTTTCTCAAACCCTTTTTGTTTTCAGTTGCATTTTTAGTGTTATTGTACTCACCATGATCTTTAGAGGCGGCATCGGCAGCACGCCGATAGCGATCATCACGCAGCACACGAGAATTCGCATCTTCGCATTGTGTGATCTGTGATGAAATTAAAAATAAAGAAAGCAAAATCAGCATCATAATTCCCAGATCATCATCCCGTTCAAACTTGAGTTCGAATTTTAACCCTGCATTTTAGTAATTGACAACTCAACGCTTTATTCTATCCGAGGGACACTTTATATTTTCCTGTACACATAAGTACTGTACTCACACGTACTCCGGCCTCATACCACTCAACGAGACCGAACCTTTGTGTGGCAACATTCGCTAACTTCGTCTGTTTTTCTCTTTTCTAGGTAAGCTGCGCCCGTCGCCTTCGGCAGCTGCCGCGCATCGACCGGTTAGTCGAACCTGTCTACAGATCCTCCCACTCCGCAAACATGATAAATACTTAATGAAGACAACGACCTTCTTTAGAAAGAGCTGGTGTTTGGCCTGCGAGGGAGGAGACTTGATGAGGAAAGAGACGTTTAGTCATCAGAGGGGGAATAGGTAGGGATTACAAGGGGAGGGCCTTTCCCTTGGTGCTCTGTCACTCGCGCCAAGAATGTTCTTCATATTCTTCTTGTAAGAACATCTAAATTCTTAATTCTTATAGCATGAATACTCTTTTGTATGCGCAAGTGTGTTTGTGTATTTGGCCGAAATCTGAGAGACATGTTTTGTTTACAGTCGTCCCGTCCTGTGCGTCCCGTAAGAAACCCTTGCTAGCGCAGCATAAGGCTCAAGATTGTATGAGAGAGAGACAGTGATATGGGGGATATGGGAGCTGAAAGGAGTTGAAGAAGAGCGAGATAGAGCGAACTAAAAGAGGGAGTGTGCACAGGGAAACTGAAAGCAGGGGAAGAAAGGTAGTGGGGTAGGGGTCAAACAGATCTTGCCCGCGGGATGTGAGGAGGGAGAGCTCCCCTCCGCCCCTACCTGCTTCCCACCCAGCGCGAACCGCCCGAGCCCATCCCCATCGCCTGGTCCGGTGTTGCGGGCTTCCGATGCGTGGCGAGGTTGGGTTTTGTCGCGGTGGTGTGAAGGTTGCCACAACCACAACAGTGTCCTGTCCAACGAGGATGCCGAGTTAGATCAACGATGCTTGTCGTACTTGAGTCCCGCAGCCTGGCCGAAAGAACACTGATTTCCTTTGAAGCTGCTACCATTATTGCTCATCTACCGCACCGGTATTGCGTCACAAACTCCTTGTCGGTCCCCGATGGGCGCCTCGGTAATGACCGATTGTGCGACACACTCACCGCGTTGTGCTGGCGCCAGGTCCATACTGGCACCTCTGCCGGCCCCGCGGGCGGACACGCAGCGGGACCAGTGGTGGGCCCAGTGGTGGGGCCAGTGATGGGGCCAGTGGTGGAGCATCACCACGCAAGGGGGCTCTCTTTCTCTTCTGCCCGCGTCTTATCTGGCTTGTGAGAGCGGTAGCGGCTCGCGGGGCATATGGTCCAGCGGCTGTGTGTCATCTCGTGGATGCACTAGGAGTAGGGGCGCAAGGAGTAGAACAAGCAAGATGACATTATTAAGTGCAGTGTTTTGGTGGCGCGGGCTTGCGCGGGCTTTTGCGGCCTGCTTCGTCACTCGCGCATGGCGTGCCGCCGCGCGATGAGATCTCTGGCCTCGCTCACGCTCTGGTCATCCGGCACCGGGACCTGGCACGTCTCTCTCTCTCCCTCTCCCTCTCCCTCTCCCCCCCTCTCTCTCTCTCTCTCTCTCTCTCTCCCTCCCTCCCTCCCTCTCTCTCTCTCTCTCTCTCTCTTTCCTTTCCTCCCGGCCCCCGGCGCGGCAGCGTCGCGAGAGGCGAGATTAGGTATCGGCGCGCGGAGGGACTGAGCCAACTATGGCGCGTTGGAGCAGAGGCAGAATTAGATAGGACAGCTGACTGGAGTGACGGGGCTGCACTTCCCGCAGATAGAACAAGCGCGTCACTGACCAGTGGGCTGCGAACGCACACTGCAAAATGCATTTCACTTTTTGGCGCGAAAATTAATTTCTTAGTAATGACGTCAAACAAAGTTACAGTTAATTAATTCCATGATGTAAGCAGGTGCAACTTACCCACTACGTCGAGGTAGCCCTGCTGACTCTTCATGGGGTCCGTGTTGATCTGGCACATGTACCAGCCGCGGTCCGTCTCGCGGACGTCCTTGATGTGCACCTTCCACGTGCGCTGGTCAGCGTACGACACGCCGATGCGGTGGTTCTTGGTGATGACGTGGTTGGCGATCGTCAGGATGGTCTGCGTGTCGACGCGCAGCCACGCCACCTGCAGCAACAGCATGAATATTTAGAGAGAGACGGGCCACGGCCAGCACAGCACTTTTCCGCGCAAAATGACATATATTCAAATGACGCGGGAGCAACAGACAGGAGGGGAGGGTTGGAGTATCAGCGCAGGGAAGGGAAAAGTAGGGGGCAACGCGAGCAGGAACACGGGGGCTGCTGCTGTAACAGACAAGCGGCAGGTCAGGCCAAGTGGAAGAATTGCGAGGTTTCCCGTCCCGTGCGGAATCCCTGCCTCCCTTTCCTGCCCGCTGCCGCGCGCTGCCGCCTGCCGCCCGGGCGCGCGCCGACGCCGAAGTCCTCCCCTCAGCAGAAGGGGGTCCCAGCACAGCCACGCGCCCCGGCGGCGCCCGCGGCTGCCGCTTTCTCCCTCTTCTCCTCTCCCGCTTTGCCGCATATCATGAAAGCGTCAAATCGCATTTCACGGCTGCAGTCCACCACTCACTCCTCGCTGTCGTGCGGCGCGGCGTGCAGAGTGACAGCAGGCAGCTCCTTGTTTTGTTTTTGCTGTCAGACTATTTTCATATCTGCCGCCGCCGCCGCCGCGGCTCCGGGGAGGAAGGAGGGTGAACACAATGAGTTGATCCGCCCGGGCGCCCCGCCCCCGCTACGTAAGCTCAAGGGCACGGCGCCGGTGATTGCCCGGTCCGCCATCATTATACGGCGCAAGTGACGCCGCCGCCGCCAACTTTTCGGCCTCCTGCTACCCCCCC